TCCTAGATTTAGAACATATAACCAACAACATCACATTCCATCCCTAGACTAACACGTAAGAACATCTAGTGTTAACTAATATTAAAGTAATCTAGACAACACCCTCACTTAGCCTTTATGGATAGATTGACATGGAAGAATGGACATGGAAGAATGAGCTACTGCGAATCTGCGATTAGGAATCCATGTTTAACATTCCATTATTAAACTTCCTAAAATATTTATTCAGTTTGGTCAAATTATACCAGTCAGAAGAAAACAGCTATAACTTCTTACTCGTACCTCAGATCAAGACAAACTTGGTGCCTCTAGAAAGCCATGACTCGGAGCTTTCCAATGATATCCATATCGTCTACTCGGTCCTTTCAAAACGATAGGAAATCAGCTCACAAATTCTCTAATCGGATATGAAAATAAGAATTCCATTTTCAGAAACAGTGATGTTTCTCAATATTGAAATACGAATTACGAGCAGATCATACCTCGTAATTTAGAACCCAAAGCTTCTACAAAAACTAGAATCCGTGATCTTTCTAATGACGACCATATCAACATCTAGTACTTCTAGATTTGGCCGGAAAACGTATGCGAAGTCGGCTGGTCGCATACTYACTCTSTACAKATCAGTCCAAGTAAAAYATCCATAACATTCATTCYATAACACCGAATGAYAAAMTTMTTTCAAATATTACTAGATCAGAGAGTTAAGAATCTGCTTACCAAATATAAGCTTCATCCGATCATTGACGAAACTGCAGCGTAAATTCTTCTCTGACTGGTCGGAAACTCTCACAGCAAATAACAATTACGAGAAAACATCCATAACTTTCATATCACAACTTCAAATGACAAACCGCTTTCTGCCTTGGGTAAATAAGAGAGTCAGGAAAGTCCTTACCAATATTCATATCGATCCGAATAGATTTGATCCTTGGTTTCTATTCCTCACCGAAACTGGTCAAATCTGCGGTTGTTCGAGAATAAGACATATTGCGACAGTTTCAAAGAACAGGCCATAACTTTCACCACAAAACTTGGATCGAGACGTTTTTAGATTTTCTGGAAAGCTGAGACTCGGAACTTTCCACAGATATGTATATCGTCGCACAGTTCATGACGGTTCGTCGGGAAATCGTCTCTCAACCCGGTGGTGAAGTTCAGTTGCAAGGGCAACTAGGGTTTACAAGGTGAAAAGTAAAACGGTCAGGGCTTCGCCGCAGCTGCACTCTTGGTCTTTTAAGTCTCACATCCTCTCCCTTTATATAGTGGATGATTAGGGTTTTCGATGGGTTAATTGGGCTTGATGGGCATGTTTAGCATTGAAGAGGAAACGTTATATAAGCTCAATCCATTTAAATCCCTTTTAAATAAAAATTTCTTCTGTTTCATTTTTCATGTTCGATCCAAAAACATTTCCGCGCAAAAATTAAAAATCATCGGGACACAGTCGTGACAGAATCGAAGAAACCTTTGATAAAAACAAAGAGCAGCGAGAAGATAGTCGTTGTCTTTGAGAGATGGATACATTAGAGAGTGAATGCAGAATGAGAGAATCTGTAAATCGTGAGAGGGACGTCGAAAAGGAAACTATAGTCATTTGTTAATCTTACTGAAGTCTGTGTAACACTGCAATAAAACCTTAAAAGGAAAGACAGAGAGATGCAGCGATACCGAAATGACAATTTGTCCAACGATACGGAAGAGGAAGGTTAAATCTGTGGTGGTACACATATCAATTTTCTCGTGCTGACGTGTCGGAGAGAGCCAAGCAACTTTTATATAGTAGATTG